CATTGCATCAGTCTCGTATATTTTGTCCATTCCCACTTATGGTTATCAGCTGTACAGGCTCGGGCGAAACGATAGCGATATATCCGATGTCCGTTTGGGGCCAATTGAACACCTCGCTGCAGGTGTGTTCTTATATCTTACGTGCATACATATCGCACGTGTGCGTGTACTGTCCGTGTTTGTAGGTGGGCTGTGTACAGACACATGAGAGTGAATTGTTGTGATAGTTGGTTTGGGAGCGTATGCACACCCGGGAATTCCTCATAGTTCGAGTAGTATGTTAGTAACAATCGTTTGATAAGCCGATAGAGCGGTCCTTTGCCAATCATTTATTCAACTATTACCAATGACTGATCTCTGCGTTCAGCGAATTGGTAGACACGCCAACCCCGATCAAGTGTAGTACATCGCTTACCGTATATAGTCTTCTTATCTATGCCTGTTGTGACTGTGTTTCACATACTAGCCCACATACTTACCGTATATAGTCTTCTATTCTATGCTTTTGTCGCATTATTTGACGTACTAACCCACATATATACTGTATGTAGCCTTCTTATATATGCTGGTTATCGCTTATTTGATGTACTAATTTACCTACTTGTGCCACCTAGGCTCTCTGTCAGGCGCTGGCAGCAAGTTAATAGTTTTGCCCATGGACACTGTCAGGAAACGACTGCAGGTGTGTTTAGGGCCTCAGGCTCAGACTAAACTAATCTAAAGTAGTACGAGTATCAATCCATGTTCAAGGCTTTAGTCCTAAATCAATACAGCATGTCTTTCGATATAATACGAGTGTCAATCGGTGTGTGAGGCTTTAATCCTAAATCAATACAGCATGTCTTTTGGTAGGTGATTAGTATGTTTGAGCGATGGCGTGTTTGTGCGTACGACCGAGTCTATATATTCATGTATGTATGTATGTATGCACGTCTGACTATATGTATGTATGCATGTGTGAGTATAGATATAGTGGGCAATGTCTTTATGTGCCTTGTTCCATTTACACCAGCAGTGTGTAGTAAATCTCTCTTGTGTGTGTGCGGGTCTTTAGCTTCTCTCAGCCTAATGCTATATCATACCCGCATTCAACTGAACTCATTTACACCAGCAGTGTTTGGTTAGTAAACCTCTTTTGTGTGTGTGTGCGGGTCTTCCTGATGCTATATCATACCCGCATTCAACTGAACGCATACACCAAGACGCATCAAACATCACTTAGGGTGTCACAAGCTGCATATGGCTTAGTGGGAGTATGTATTCGTATCCATGGCTTCCTTATTAGTGCTACCACTGTGTGTATGGTCCACTACCACCGAGTTATATCATGTGCATACCCCCTACTTTCGACACGAAGATAGTTACCTCCTGCGTATCTATTGTTCATATGACTCCATTTCTGTAAACATTTTACTGCTCGTTAGGTCCAGCGGCGAGTTACTGCCTGCGTATCTATTGTTCACATGACTCCGTTTCTGTAAACGTTTATCGGCTTGTTAGGTCCAGGGCTTTGAATCGGCGAGGAAGAATTTTGGCAAAATCGTCAAATACAAAAACATGACCCATTGTATGGGCGTGATCTACGCCAATGAGGGCTTGGTGGGATTCTATAAAGGTATCTGTGACCAGATCGGCGGCTGTCATTATTGTATTGTACGTGTTTGTATATGATTAGTTTTATTGTACGTGTTTGTATATGAATCTACAAAGGTATGTGTGAAGATAAGTATTATCCTTAGCGTATTGTCTACCTCACCTCCGACTAGGAGTGCCTGTTAGTCCGGCGGTTGCTGACATATCAGTCACTCATGCTGAGTCGATCTATATTCGCCACTCAATCTTAAGTGCAACCGTTGTATCCGTCGTGAATTGTTCATCTTCTGTCTGTCGCTTGGTCGTATACGTTGCGTTTATGCAAATTCGTTAAATATACACCGAGCCATAGTACTGGTTGTATAACGTTCACTTTCTAAGTGTTGCTTGATTGTATAGGAGTCCTGCAAGCCTCGATCGATTGTTCGCTAAGTATATACTGAGACATCGTACTGGTTAGGTTGTGTGATATTCACCATTTATCTGTTGCTTGATTGTATAGGAGGAGTCGTTGTTCGCTAAGTATATACTGAGGCATCGTACTGGTTAGGTTGTATGATATTCACCATTTATCTGTTGCTTGACTGTATATGAGGAGTCGTTGTTCGCTAAGTATATTGAGGCATCGTACTGGTTAAATCGTATGATATTCACCATTTATCTGTTGCTTAATTGCATAGGAGGAGTTCCTGCAACACTTAAAGCACTGATCGCCAGTTCAGTGACGTGGATGGCCTTTGAACAGCTGTCGAAGTTTCTCAGCGAGAGACGGACTGAGCCTCGAGCACTGTAATATGCGACACGCGAACCGATGTCGTAATTTAGAAACACCCTGGAGGAGCTGTCGAGGGTGCTCAACGAATCGAGAGTACCTGCATAGGTCTCGAGCGAAAGGCCGGGCTAGATTTAATTTCACAATTTGCAACACCACCACACCTCACCCAGATGTCGCAAATTAGTCACACCCGTGAGAGCCTGTTGGCGGTGGTACTGAGTCACGAACACTCAATATAGGCGACATTTCGCGAGATCGAGAGAATTGTTGTGCATAGAGCCTTTGCCGCATGGCGGGGGGTGGTCAGCTATAGGCCGGACGGACGAGAGAGAAAGGGTGGGGTAGGACAATTTAATGTAAGCTTTGATATAAATAGATGAAATGAACGAAAATGGCGAACACCAGACAGCCATAAACCACTGTCAATGGTGTGTGACTGTAGACAGTCTGTACAAGGGAACCTCAACTACTGTAATATCTGCGACATGAAGACATCCATAAACCATTGTCAATGGTGTATAACTATGAATGGTCTTTACAAGGGAACCTCAACTACTGTAACATCTGCGAAATGAAGACAGCCATAAACCATTGTCAATGGTGTATAACTATAGATTGATTGTACAGGGAACCTCAAATTCTGTAACATCTGCGACGTTCCGCGATGATGATCTTGAAGTCCTAAAGGGCGACACATTGAATCGTTTGTTGAAGAACGTCAACAAACTGCGGACTTAGATGTAGGAATCTCGAATACTGTAGCATGGGCGCTATACCATTAAGGCCAGTATCAATTCAGTATACTTAGAAGAAGTATGAATCTCGAATACTGTAGCATGGTCGATTCTATCAATGTGTTCAGGATCAGTTCAGTCCGAGTCTGGCGGCTTAACGGCGCACTGGTGTCCCGCTGTGGGTAGTCTGTTGCAGAAGGCGAGCAGTACAATGAAGTGCAATGACGGTCTGAAATGCTGTACAGTGTTTTATCTAGTGTCTGTGCGGTGTCAGTGTACGGTGGCGACGGCCTGAAAGCCTGGTGTATGATATCTAGCAGAAGCGAGGTGGGCAGGTTAGGTAGCACTCGTACAAGCGTCGAAGGTAATCATCAGTGAATAGGGGAGACTAAGCGAGGGCCAGATACCAGTATGCGGCCACGGAAAGGAATAGGCGTGGCTGCTGTGGGTGGCAGGTGGGCCACATGGGTTGGGATGTGCTACCTGTATAGTTTGCGACAAAGTGATGATTTGCGACACTTCTGTAAACTGTCACTTTTTAAATGGGATCGTTCAATATTCTTCAGCGACAGTTGGATTGTGCCAAGAGACCTGCGTCTTAAGTCTCTGTCGTTTGTGACAGTGCAATATATTAAACCTGCAGTGTATGGCAGCGACTGTGGGGAGCAAATTTAAAGTTATAGCAGTAGGCCGGGTGAACAACGGAGTGGGGTGAGAACTCTTTCGAATGTTGGACACCATTGAATATCTTGCCGAGAGCGAACATCGCTTCGTAGTATGCGACAGTGTGACAATTTTACGTAGTTGTCACAGGACGTGGTTGTGATAAATATGCATATTAAAGAACATGAGATGTCACAACACAATTGTCACAGATAGACAATGTGACGCATTTATACTTGTTATTTGGTACGGATAGTGTGATAGGTAGGCATACGCAATTGTCTTAGCATGACAGCGACAAATTAAAACTTGTCATATAACGTGTAATCAAACTTATATTTGAGTAAGTGTGTAAGTTTCTTGCGGCTGACAAAGTGAAGCGCGTCATATGTTTTATAACATTATCTTCAAGTATTTTAGTGTGCAAGTTTTTCACGACTGAACGTGTGATAAGAACTTTCAGTACCACTGTTTGCGACGGTTTGATATTTACACCAATTTGGTCAAAATTTCGTAAAATAACGACATGCCATTCAGTTTTCGAGGATTTAACGCCACCGACGGATGCGAAGGAAGTCGGAAGATGCATGTAAATTAATTTGAGACGGTCTGGCGAATCAACAACACATGTCGTGAAATATTGGCACGGATCAATGGCCATACTTTGCAACACTTCGGTATTGATAAGTACTATCATGTATTTGTGCGATATCTTTGAGCGACATATCAAGAGGGGACTGGCCTCCCATAGCTGTGCAAAACAAATATTTGTAACAAATCGGTAAAAGTATATAAACACATTCGAGCAACAGCATTAGATGATCGCCGACCTACCACTTATATGACGTGAGTGCATATTTCCAAATATGTATTAAAGACTATTCACTTTTAACGATATTCTGGTAGAAATGCAAACTGATAGTAAATATAGGACATTCTTCAGCAACTGAATAGGCGGTTAACGAGCGATGTACTACACATATATTGAGCGGCAACAATGTAAAACTAGAGCTAGGCCGCTGGGTTCGAATATTTGCGATAGAATAATCTACAGCCAGGTCTAGAAATGAGCGATAGAAGGAAAATATCAAGATTTATCTTGTAAGAATATTGTGCAATCGAGCGTAGTATAACTGTGCGTATGAGCTATTTCTTGAAGTCTCGCATGCTACACATCAGCACAGGTAAACATCTGAGTCCGGCAAAAGGCAAACCAAGAAGTATCGAACATATTTTTGCGGGGCAAATTGAGACTTTTGGTCTGCAGGAGAGTAATATGGGCTTGCGCTGCACTATAAATGCCATATTTTGGACATGTGTATCTATGTATACACGAAATTTTAGTAGCAGTTTTTCAGTTTCCCGATTTTGGAATGTATCAGACGGATTGTCATACAGTAGCACACCATTCGCGCGATCGACAAACTCTCAAGCGCAGTGACTACCTATGAGGGTAATTGTTATTTAATAGCAGGCACGGCATTCGATTCAAGGTTGATAGAATGAGTCGTGAATCTCCACCAAGTAACAAAAAATGAAGTTACATCTCGATGGACAGTGTGCTGTACTCGGACTACTCCTGTGGTCTTGGCCCTCCTCCCTCACCCCGACCCGACAACTACTTTAATATCAAGGTGTATGCAATTGTGTATCAGTTCGATGAATGAGACAAATATGCGTGTCATATTCGCAGAATTTGGCACATATAAGCTCTCGCCAGTCGCGGTTTGCAATTGCTTCAGTCTTCAGGGCGGGTCTTTACTCTATCGAACTTATTTGGAACTCTCAATGGTGCCACACAAACAACTTTATTATGTCTATACGGCATAAACGGCACAAGGCGATATTGTCATAGTGCCAATAAAAGGCATGTCGTCGTTGAACATAAATTAATGAAAAAGTATCCCCAGCAGCCCAGCTGGGCTGTGTCAGGTTCATTCGCTCAGGTGCTCAGCTGCCTCAGCACTCAGCTACTTCTCACTTCTGGCTTTTCACTCATGAACAGCCTAAAGCAGTGAAAACTGTGTTCTGTTCTCTACCAGAGTGAACAAATACAAAACATTAAAATAGTTTCAACCTTCAACTTTCAACTTCCAAGTTTGTTCGCCAATTGACAATTTATATTCAATGAATTGAACTGCCAGTTTTGTCTTTTTGCCACCCACAATGCCAGAGGTTACTCACTTTGACACTTACTCTAGTACAGTCAACCACTCAGCGCCGGGCGACGAGCTAGAGTCGAGTGATCGAGTCGTTAAGTACTCTTCAATACTCGTTCGGTCGTTACGAATCGGTAAGAGGAGGCCCCGAGGCCGGCTGGCCAGATGTAACGACTAACATCAGAGCCTTTCTTTCAGTCGCTCAAGCGTGAGCTGTGAGTCTCTCAGAGTCAGAGGTGACAGAGAGAGTCAGAGCCACTGAGAGAGACTTTTATAGACTCTTAAGATAATTTAGAATAGAGAAAGATGACAGTCAGAATAAGTTATCCTAGCTAGTCACTAGTAGCTCAACTAGAGTAAAGACTAAATATGTAGAATTGTAGAGACTATTTTTGTACTCTCTAGTAGAGAGTGGCCGCACTCGCAGTGGCCACAGAGTGACGCAGACAGCCAGACTCAGTTGTGAGATGTCAGATGGGTGTTGACTGTTGAGACAAGACCTGTCAGTTGTCACTAGTCACTCATGATGTATAATAGTCACAGGAACTTCAGAGTTCAGACAGGAAGACTTCAGAAGTGACACAGGATCATAAAGAAGTTATGAACCGAAGACGAGACGTTGTGATCAGTTGCCATTTATAGGGTTTTACCCGGTACGAGCACTCATTGTAAAATTCATCCCATATCGGCATTGCTGGGAACTTTTAATTTTTATCTATACATACTTTATTACATAGTTGCCTTATACAGGAACAGTTGTTTTTTCCGGCTTTAATTTACTTTACACAATTTTTTTGTCGAATAGTTTCCATGAACATTGATATGAAGATTCAACTTGGTTCAATTTGAATTTCAGGAACTGAACTAGGAATTCTACTACATACTCTGGCTTTCTCTAAAGCATCCGATTTGTTTTATTACTTACCTACGCAGTATAAATGATGTACGTCAAGTACATTCATTAAACACAAATACATCAGTAACTGATATAACAATTAACAAAGTCATGATTGCATCTTTGAAAGACCACCAAGGCCTATGGCGACTAGACAAAGCCAGCTCCGACAGTAGCGAGCCTATGCCCAAAGCTGCAAGTGTCAACTTAATCAAACGCAAAATGTTAGCTGCACTATCCATTGATTGGGAGCTTAAGGTTGAGGAAAACGGTGACAAAACTAAGGCGACTGAGAAGACGTACACAACCTTTGTCAACAAAGAAGTGGTATTGGACCCAGGCAAGGACGGCGAGTACAAGTCATTCATATCATACTTCGACGATGCTTTCGCAGTGGACTGTGAGAAGGAAATCAAGTATGACCCAAAGACCGGTATCATACATACCCATGCTCGATCCACTGGCAAGTACAAAGGCATCCAATGGCACGAGACCCGAGAAATCAACGCAGACGGCAATCTGATTTGGGTGGCTTCCATGAAATACAAGGGTACCACTACCAGAAATGTCCGAACATTCAAACGTCCCAAACACTATAACGCCCGGTGGCACTGAAAACATTCAATAAACATGCGTCTGCTGGACAGCTGACTCCTCACTCCTGAGTCCTGACTCCTGAGCCTGCTGATTTAAAAAAAAAATCATTGCCGTAAATGCCGATTGACGGTTTTTAACCTGGGTTTTTTATAAAAAGCATTTTGGAGTGCGCTTCAATGATTCAGCCATATTTAAAAAAATATTTAGGCCCATAGGGAAGGGCCCGGAGGGGTATGAATAAAGAACCAAAAAAGAAACATCTCGATTTTTTTTTAGACGAATCGACAACGAGAGAGAGAGAAAACAAGTCCGACAACCCTAAACTCAAAAAACTTTCAACCCAACTTCGACAAAACTGCAACACGGAACAATAAATATCGTAACACCCAAGAGCTTTGATGTGCATTTTCGACAAGGTCCTCTCACTATAGGCAGTGTATCTCTTGAGCTCAGCACTAGATAGATACATTGCATCAATATGTTCTCATCTATCATCCGTCTCGGTCTCGGATTTCTTATAGGATACCTAATAGGTACAGTAAACTATGATGCGGATGAATTCTGGGGGACGAAAGTCCACTTGCCCATACAGTACAGCAGCCATTTCCAGCCTACGTTCAGAGACGAAACTGTTATTAACACCTGGAACCCTACTACTCGGAGGTAAACATAGTTGATTGTAGTATATGAGTGTGCTTAGGCAGTTGTGGGTTTTTTCCTAGTGTGAGACTACAGGAATGAATAAACAGATCTTTTTTAAACATTATATCATCGCATGAAGTATTAGAGATATAATAAAAC